TTAGAAGGGGGGTAAAAACAGTGCTAATGTTAAGAAGGGGAGGGTCGAAAGTTTTTAAGTTGGAAAGATTAGGTGAAGGCGCTATAGAATTCTAGTTATGTGGGAGATTGTGAGTGCTAAAGAACGACAGTCACAAGGGGGGGGGGGAAACAAACGGGACTTCAAATATAGACCGATGGGCCGCGTCAAAGGACCTTGTAAGCCTTCTTCTGGTTCAAGTGGATTGAACGGGAAACTGGATACTGGACCACGGACTGTAGGGTCTAATAACCTCTCACATACCTTAATATGAAACTCTGCAGAGATTAATCATTCTTGCAGTAAAATTATCCACCAAATGTACATTTAGACTCTGGAACAGGAGTGGAGAAATATGATTTATATCTTTCAGCGTCTTGAGAGAATGTGAATGTGCAGTTAGGGACCGTCTGTAGAGCTGCTGTCTTTATCAGCATCATAAAAGCTGATTTGTATTTCAACCACATAAACTATGCATCCGAGAAGAACTGAAATCTTATCAGAAACATGTTGGGTCGTTTGCACAGCTTTCTATTTCCTTTCAACCGGTCAAACTGATGTCATTTGGACATTTTGCACAGAAAACCTTTGCAGTTTTTTAAATAGTTATTGCATTTTATCCCTGGTCCCTAAATGTATTTTCTCCGTGAAAAGAAGCGGAGATGACAGAGAGAACTTTATGTATGTCAACTAGACTGAAGCATTCATTCTATCGATTTTTTGACATTATTCTGTTAGATAGATAGGAGTTACATAGTTCAGAATACACAAGATCAAGCACACACAAAATAACCCTGTTTTTTTATTTTTTTATTTTGAAAGTCAATCTTTCATTGACAAGCTTATAAGTGAATTATTGATGCTCAGAGCTGGAAACACATCGGATGGCTTCCACAACATGTGAACAATATCAGAAGAAAAGGGGGTTGATAGACCTAACAACTAGAAACGGGCAGATGTTTTAGTAAGTGGTGTCAGGTGTCGTCACGGGACGTTTCCAAGTGTCTCTAAACCTCTCCAAAGTGCCATATGTTTGTAAATTAGATCATTCCAGTGCTATTACAGATTTGCAATCCCTAAATGCTATTTGTTCAGTATAAAAACACAATTTCTACCATATCAACCTCACTCAAACGTTGTGGTGGTGTTATGGGGTAACCAGAGTACATTCAAGTGTCCTTTCAATCTCTCCAAAGTGTCCACTGTTTCTGCCCACCGGATGGATGTGCCTAAAAGTTATTGTTCACTATAAAAAACTACATTTCCACAACACCAACCACTCTGAAACATTGTGTTGGTATCGGGGCACATACAGGGGGATGTCCAAGGGTTTTTTCAACCTAGTCACTCGATGGACATTCGATGTTGCCATTAAGTCATACGTCATCAGATAACATTGGCAATATGCTAGATGTGTTCCTACCAACCTAAGGATGAATTTGATACCCCCCCCCCCCCATGTAGCTATAGCTCAAACACAGACCAAATTGAAACTTACCTTGCTGTTTGGTGAAAACATTGTGTAAAATCAAAAATTTGACTCTCGGGGCTGGTGATCAATAACGGTAGGACACAGGCAGACAAATAAGACCTCCTCATGATCTGCTTTCGGTGTGTATCAACGTATTCCGTGTTTATTTATTTTATGTTTCACAACTCTAACCGGAATGTAGATAGCAGCCATCTTGAAATTAGGTCATCGGCTCGGCCTGCCCTTATAAATGTGTATGCCAATACAGTGGGGAAAAAAAGTATTTAGTCAGCCACCAATTGTGCAAGTTCTCCACTTAGAAGATGAGAGAGGCCTGTAATTTTCATTCATAGGTACACGTCAACTATGACAGACAAAATGAGAAAAAGAAATCCAGAAATCACATTGTAGAATTTTTTATGAATTTATTTGCAAATTATGGTGGAAAATAAGTATTTGGTCAATAACAAAAGGTTTCTCAATACTTTGTTATATACCCTTTGTTGGCAATGACACAGGTCAAACGTTTTCTGTAAGTCTTCACAAGGTTTTCACACACTGTTGCTGGTATTTTGGCCCATTCCTCCATGCAGATCTCCTCTAGAGCAGTGATGTTTTGGGGGCTGTCGCTGGGCAACACGGACTTTCAACTCCCTCCAAAGATTTTCTATGGGGTTGAGATCTGGAGACTGGCTAGGCCACTCCAGGACCTTGAAATGCTTCTTACGAAGCCACTCCTTCGTTGCCCGGGCGGTGTGTTTGGGATCATTGTCATGCTGAAAGACCCCAGCCACGTTTTATCTTCAATGCCCTTGCTGATGGAAGGAGGTTTTCACTCAAAATCTCATGATACATGGCCCCCATTCATTCTTTCCTTTACACGGATCAGTCGTCCTGGTCCCTTTGCAGAAAAACAGCCCCAAAGCATGATGTTTCCACCCCCATGCTTCACAGTAGGTATGGTGTTCTTTGGATGCAACTCAGCATTCTTTGTCCTCCAAAACACGACGAGTTGAGTTTTTAACCAAAAAGTTCTATTTTGGTTTCATCTGACCATATGACATTCTCCCAATCCTCTTCTGGATCATCCAAATGCACTCTAGCAAACTTCAGACGGGCCTGGACATGTACTGGCTTAAGCAGGGGGACACGTCTGCACTGCAGGATTTGAGTCCCTGGCGGCGTAGTGTGTTACTGATGGGTAGGCTTTGTTACTTTGGTCCCAGCTCTCTGCAGGTCATTCACTAGGTCCCCCTGTGTGGTTCTGGGATTTTTGCTCACCGTTCTTGTGATCATTTTGACCCCACGGGGTGAGATCTTGCGTGGAGCCCCAGATCGAGGGGAGATTATCAGTGGTCTTGTATGTCTTCCATTTCCTAATAATTACTCCCACAGTTTGATTTCTTCAAACCAAGCTGCTTACCTATTGCAGATTCAGTCTTCCCAGCCTGGTGCAGGTCTACAATTTTGTTTCTGGTGTCCTTTGACAGCTTTTTGGTCTTGGCCATAGTGGAGTTTAGAGTGTGACTGTTTGAGGTTGTGGACCGGTGTCTTTTATACTGATAACAAGTTCAAACAGGTGCCATTAATACAGGTAACGAGTGGAGGACAGAGGAGCCTCTTAAAGAAGAAGTTACAGGTCTGTGAGAGCCAAGAATCTTGCTTGTTTGTAGGTGACTAAATACTTATTTTCCACCATAATTTGCAAATTAATTAATTAAAAATCCTACAATGTGATTTTCTGGGAAAAAAATTCTCAATTAGTCTGTCATAGTTGACGTGTACCTATGATGAAAATTACAGGCCTCTCTCATCTTTTTAAGTGGGAGAACTTGCAAAATTGGTGGCTGACTAAATACTTTTTTTCCCCACTGTACATGGTAGTAAGTCACACCAAAGATTTGAAGGCACCGATCAATAGCCAAGATACTCAGCTTTCCGCAGACACCCTGCTTTTGCAGATAGGGGCTACCGTTCTCATACCAGACTGATTTGAATCAAGAAAATCTAATAGGGTCCCCAAATATGGGGACTTTATACCCCCCCCCCCCCCCCCCCCCCCTTCTAGCTCTTACTTTGCTGATAACTACTTTAGTGAGGAAAAGTGTACTTACCATGACTGAGAAATGTGGTTGTCTCACCTAGCTATCTTAAGAAGAATGCACTAACTGTAAGTCGCTCTGGATAAGAGCATCTACTAAATGACTAAAATGTAAATGTAAAAAGCTTTTACCAAAATGTCGGAAATTAGCCCTATAAGCAGAAACATATCTAAATCAGGCACACCAAAAAAGTCCTGCACCCACTGTCCCCCCCCAAAACATCTGATGTCTCTGACTGTAGCCCACAGCCCATTTTCTATATTAGCAGGTTAGGGGTCGGGTGCAGAGCCTCAGATTTTCACTTTATCACATATAGTCGGGTGGTTGCAGATGGGTTATTAGCAATTGCGGGGCGGGTGAACAAACAGCTGACCAGCGCACCTCTACTGGAAACATTACACTTAGTCTGACAGTAACTATTACAGAACCAATTCACAGAACTACTGAGCAGTCAGAACATGTTCTATATGGAGGAGAAACACAGAGTCTGGGTCCCAAATTACACCCTATTCCCTATATAGGACCCGTAGGGTTCTGGTCAAAACTCACTAGAATCAAACAGTCACCAGTTACCCCCTCTAGTCTCACTAGAATCAAACAGTCACCAGTTACCCCCTCTAGTCTCACTAGAATCACAGTCACCAGTTACCCCCTCTAGTCTCACTAGAATCAAACAGTCACCAGTTACCCCCTCTAGTCTCACTAGAATCAAACAGTCACCAGTTACCCCCTCTAGCCTCACTAGAATCAAACAGTCACCAGTTACCCCCTCTAGTCTCACTAGAATCAAACAGTCACCAGTTACCCCCTCTAGTCTCACTAGAATCACAGTCACCAGTTACCCCCTCTAGTCTCACTAGAATCAAACAGTCGCCAGTTACCCCCTCTAGTCTCACTAGAATCAAACAGTCACCAGTTACCCTTCCTGAATCCTAGTAAAATGATTCCTGTTGTGGATCAGTAGATAGAAGTGCTACATATTCCGTTGCTTTACCTCAGATGACCTCGTGTCAAAACAACTAGCAAACAGCTGGTCTCGCATGTCTGCTGTGTGACTGCTGTTGGTGCTGTCAGTCCAGTTTACAGGGACTTTATAAGGAGGCGATGACGATCTATTTCTATGATGAAGCCCCAGTATTAGACAGAGGAGGTTTGAGGGCTTTCGGTATTATGGGGTTGAGTAGGAGCGCATATTCAGCTGAGAAGGTGTTTTACTTTACCCAAACTGTTTAGTGACCCATTACATTCTGACTGTCCCCTTTAGTCCAGAATCACCATTGTTGTAAAACCGTTTCAGACAATGTGAGGTGTTTTGAAAGATGAGTTGACCCCTGAACTTTAACCTCTGTGTATCTCTCATTGTCCAGGGTGGCAACGTGCTGACCTCTGCCAGGCTCTCTCTTCCCTCCATGGCCTCCAGGGCGTCTTTCCCAGAGGTCACCAACGTCACCAACTACCTGTGAGTAAAGTCACTGTGTGTGTGTGTGTTTGGTGTGTGTGTGTGGTGTGTGTGTTTGGTGTGTGGTGTGTGTGTGTGTGTGTGTGTGTGTTTGGTGTGTGTGTAACTGCAGCTGTTTATTAATGGTACTGGGTGTGTCCGTGTGGACGTTCAATGTCATAACTACAGCTGTTTATTAATGGCACTGGGTGTGACCATGTTTTTCCAAACAATACCCAGTCTTTATTAACTCTGTGGGGTCCCACCCCAACCACTACTAATAGTCTTTATTCTAACCCTACAGGAGAGAGAACGGTAGTGGAGTCTGTCTTTATGTCTCTGTGTTACAGGAGAGAGAACGGTAGTGGAGTCTGTCTGGACCTCCAGGTGATTGATAATGTGCCGGGAGCCAAGGTGGAGGAGGAGTCAGAAACGCATCACTTCCTGGCTGGGAACCTGTACAAGCCCCGGAGACGGGTACGGCCCTGTCAGCGCTGACACACACACACACACACACACACACAAATCTCATAATCACTCTCTATGGGCCTCTCACGCTAGGCTGTCTATATAGAAGAATACCACCCATGTGGAAATGACCATGACATCTACTTTAAAAAAAAAAAACAAACAAAATTTCCCTTTTTTCTTGGGGTTGGGGGGTTTTTTTTTTAAAATTTTTAAAACTACGCTTTTTTAGGGCCCCAGAAAACAGAAGGGTTCTTTGGTTTTGGGGGAGGGCCCCCTTTTTTGGGGAAAAGGGGATTTCCCCCAAAAAAATTTTTGGGCATTTAAAGTCCCCTTCCAAAACCCATTGGTTTTTTAAAAAAATTTCCCCCTTAGGGGTTTTTGAAAGAAGGGTTACCCCCTTAAAAACCCCCCTTTTTATTTCCAGGGGGGCAACGTCCCCTCTGCCAGGGTCCTCCCCCAAACCTCCAGGGCCTTTTCCCCCCCCCCCAACTAAAAAAAAGGAGAAAGTCACGTTTGGGGGTTTTTTTGGGGGGGGTTTTTTTTGTTGTTGGGGGGGTTTTTTTTTTGGGGGGTGGTTAAAAGAATTTTTTTTGGTACTTTGTTCCCTTTTGGGTCTTAAAAACTAAGCTGTTTTTTCCCCCGGGTTTTTACCTGTTTTTTCCCAGTCATTAATTGGGGGTCCCCCCATAAAAGCATTTACCAAGGGGGAAAGGGGGTTTGGGGTTGGGTTTTAAGTTTTTTAAAGGGGGAAAGGGGTTAATTTCCCCAAAGGTTTTTTTTTTAAAAAATTTGGGGGGCCGGTGGGGGAAGGAGGGGGAAAAAAAATTTTGGCAAAAAAAAACCCCGGGGGGTTTCGCCCCTCACCGCTGACCCCCACCCCACCCCAAAAATCCATTCCTCTCGGGCCCCAACCGGGGGGATATGGGTTTTTGGGGGTGGGGTTTTTTTAAAAAAACTTTAAAAAGGGTTTAAAAAAAAAAAAAAAGGGGCCCCCCCCCCGGGGAAAAGGGAAAAAAAACAAGGGGGAAAAGGGAAAAAAAAGGGGGGAAAAAAAAGGGGGGAGAGGGAGGAAGAAGAAGGGGGGGAAAAAGGGACGAAGGGGGGGGAAAAAAAAAAAAAAAAAAAAAAAAAAAAAAAAAGGGGGAAAAAAAAAGGGAAAAAGAAAGAGGAAAAACAGGGAAGAAGAAAGGGGAAAAAAAAGAAAAAGGGTAAAAAAAAAGGAAAAAGGGGAAAAAAAAAAAAAAAAAAAAAAAAAAAAGGGGGGGGGGGGGGGGGGGGGGGGCCCCCCCCCCCCGGGGGGGGGGGGGTGGGGGGGGGGGGGGGGGGGGGGGCGGGGGGGAAAAAAAAATTTTTTTTGGGGGGGGGGGGGGGGGGGGGGTGGGGGGGGGGGGGGGGAAAAAAAAAAAAAAGGGGGGGGCCCCCGGGGGGTTCCCCCTCTTTTTTTCTTTCCCCCTCTCTTCCCCCTCTCTCCCCCTTTCCCCCTCCCCTTCCTTCCCTAACCCAACCCCTACAGGGGAACAGACAGGGAAGAAAAACCGGGGGTCCCCGGGGAAAAAGGGGAAAAAAAGGGCTTAAAGACCCCCCACAAACCCCCACGGGAGAGAAAAAAACAACGTCCCCCTTTCCCCTTTTTAAAAGGGAAAATTTCTTACTTTAAAGATTTTGGGGGCTGGGCCTTTGTTTTTTTGGAACTTTTAAGCCCGGTGGGGGAATTTTTTTCTTTTAAAAAATTTTTGGAGAAATTTAAGTTGGGAAAATAAAAATTTTTTTTTTCGGCTTGCCCCATTTTTTGGTGGGGCTTCAACGGGGGGGTTTTTTTTTGGGAGGGGGAAGGGGGTTTTTGGGGGGGGGGTGGTTGCGGGGGGGGTTTCCCTTTTGGCCAAACCCTTTTATTTAAGTGGGGGGGGTTGTTCCCTTGGAGCCCCCTTTTTTTTTAGGGGGCTATGGGCAGGGGGTTTTTTTGGTTTGGGTCGGTTTTTTAAAATTTGAAAAACCCCATTTGGGGGGGAAATGGGTTTTGGGGTTTTTTTGGGGTGGGGGGTTTCTTGGGTTGGGGGGGGGGGTTTCTTTTTTGGGGGTTTTTGGGGGGGAAGGGGTTTGGGCTGGGCTGGGTTCTCTATACTGGGTTTTGGGGCTGGGCTGGGTTCTCTATACTGGGTTTTGGCTGGGCTGGGCTGGGTTCTCTATACTGGGTTTTGGGCTGGGCTGGTTCTCTATACTGGGTTTTGGGCTGGGCTGGCTGGGTTCTCTATACTGGGTTTTGGGCAGGCTGGGCTGGGTTCTCTATACTGGGTTTTGGGCTGGGCTGGGTTCTCTATACTGGGTTTTGGGCTGGGCTGGGCTGGGTTCTCTATACTGGGTTTTGGGCTGGGCTGGGTTCTCTATACTGGGTTTTGGGCTGGGCTGGGCTGGGTTCTCTATTACTGGGTTTTTGGGCTGGGCTGGTTCTCTATACTGGGTTTTGGGGACGGGGGCTAGGCTGGGTTCTCTATACTGGGTTTTGGGCTGGGCTGGTTCTCTATACTGGGTTTTGGGCTGGGCTAGGCTGGGTTCTCTATACTGGGTTTAGGCAGGGCTGGGCTGGGTTCTCTATAATGGGTTTTAGGCAGGGCTGGCGCTGGTCTTATACTGGGTTTTGGGCCTGGGCTGGGTTCTCTATAATGGGTTTAGGCAGGCGGGGCTTGGCTGGGTTCTTATACTGGGTTAGGGCAGGGCTGGGCTGGGTTCTCTATACGGGTTGTAGGCAAGGGCTGGGCTGGTTCTCTATACTGGGTTTAGGCAGGGCTGGGCTGGGTTCTCTATACTGGGTTTTGGGCTGGGCTGGGCTGGTTCTCTATACTGGGTTTAGGCAGGGCAGAGTCCTCCCTAAGCCTACAGAGGTCAGAAACTGAAGGTCACAGCCTTAGGTGACACTAAAGCCAGTTTTATCACGATTGAATACTTTAGTACAGGACACATTTCAGACAACTGTGAAACAAGCGATATGTGATAAATGTTTATCTATAGTTGGCGCTCTATCTCCCTCTCCCCCTCTTCTCCATCTCTCCTCTCTCTCGCCACCCTCTCTCTCTCCTCTCTCTCTCTCTTCTCTCTCGCCCTCTCTCGCTCTCTCTCTCTCTCCCTCTCTCTCTCTGTGGTGCATAAATGACCTTCTGCATGTCTACCTGTCCTGTTTCACAATTGGAATATCACCTTGCTCTGAACCAACGGAACTCATCATATTACATTACATTTACGTTCATTTAGCAGACGGCTCTTATCCAGAGACGACTTACTACAAAAGGTGCATTCACCTTATAGCAGTGGGATAAACCACTTTACAATGTTTGTATTTATTATTTTTTATTTTTATTTTATTATTTTCTGGGGGGGGGGGGGGGGGGGTTGGAGTAAGGGGGGGGGGGGGGTAGAAAGGATTAACGTTACCTATCCCAGGTATTCCTAAAGAGTGGGGTTTCAAATGTCTCCGGAAGGTGGGAGTGACTCGCTGTTCCCTGGACGTCGTGAGGGCTGGTCTCCACCATTGGGGGTGCCAGCGCAGCGAACAGTTTGACTGGCGAGGGGAACAACTAGAGGCTTCCGCAGAGGTAGGGGAGCCAAGGCAGGCCAGAGGTTGTGAACGCCGTGCCCTCGTTTGGGGTGTAGGGACTGAGCAGAGCCTGAAGGACGGGAGACAGGTGCCGTTTCCCCTCCACAGGCTCCGTAGCAAGCACCATGGTCTTGTAGCAGATGCGAGCTTCAACTGGAAGGCCAGTGGAGTGGCGGAGGCGAGGGTGGGGGGCCGGTTGGGGGTGCGTGAGAGAATTGCAGGAGAAGGTTGAAAACCAGACGGGCGTCCTGCGGAATTTCTGGATGAGTTTGTAGGGGGTTTAATTGCACAGGAAGGGCAGCCCCAGCCAACAGCGAGGGCAGTTCAGTAATCCAGACGGAGATGACAAGTGCATGGATTAGGACATGTGCCGCTTCCTGTGTAAGCAGGTCGTACTCTCCGATGTTGTAAGAAGGCAGACCTAAGGGATCGGGTCAACGCCTGATGTTAGCGGAGAGAACGACAGGGTGTTGTCCAGGTCACGCCAAGGCTCTTCGCCCCTCTGGGAGGAGGACACAAAACGGAGTTGTCAACCGTGATGGCGAGATCATGGAACGGGCAGTCCTTCCCCGGGAGGAAGAGCAGCTCCGGTCTGCCGAGGTTTAGCTGAGGTGGTGATCCGGTCATCCATACGATTATGTCTGCCAGACATGCAGAGATGCGATTCGCCACCTGGTTATCAGAAGGGGGAAAGAGAAGATTAGTTGTGTGTCGTCAGCGTAGCAATGATAGGAGAGGCCATGTGAGGATTATGAAGATCCAAGTGACTTGCTGTATAGCGAGAAGAGGAGAGGGCCTAGACTGGAGCCCTGGGGGACACCAGTGGTGAGAGCACGTGGTGCTCATATTCCAATGAGATACTGGAATATGAGCTATTATTCATTACTATTCCACTAAGCTGTTGGAGTAAAGGCTATCACATTATTTAAACCTATATCCACAGCCAGCCAGCTACCAAAGTCTTCATTAAACCTATATCCACAGCCAGCCAGCTACCAAAGTCTTCATTAAACCTATATCCACAGCCAGCCCGCCAGCTACCAAAGTCTTCATTAAACCTATATCCACAGCCAGCCAGCTACCAAAGTCTTCATTAAACCTATATCCCACAGCCAGCTACCAAAGGCTTCATTAAACCTATATCCACAGCCAGCTACCAAAGTCTTCATTAAACCTATATCCACTGCCAACCAGCTACCAAAGTCTTCATTAAACCTATATCCACAGCCAGCCAGCTACCAAAGTCTTCATTAAACCTATATCCACAGCCAGCCAGCTACCAAAGTCTTCATTAAACCTATATCCACAGCCAGCCAACTACCAAAGGCTTCATTAAACCTATATCCACTGCCAACCAGCTACCAAAGTCTTCATTAAACCTATATCCACTGCCAGCCAGCTACCAAAGTTTTCATTAAACCTATATCCACTGCCAGCCAGCTACCAAAGGCTTCATTAAAACTATATCCACAGCCAGCCAGCTACCAAAGTTTTCATTAAACCAATATCTACATCTGTGTGTGTCCAGGATTTACATTCATGAACATAGCCAGGGCCTTCAACGTTATAGCCAAGGGCCTTCAACGGTATAGCCAAGGCCTTCAATGGGATTGGCATTTTTTTTTATTTTTTTTTGTTTTGTTTTTTCACCTTTATTTAACCAGGTAAACCAGTTGAGAACAAGTTCTCATTTACAACTGCGACCTGGCCAAGATAAAGCAAAGCAGTGCGATAAAAACAACAACACAGAGTTACATATGGGGTAAAACAAAACAAAGTCAAAAATACAACAGAAATACATATATATACAGTGTGTGCAAATTTAGCAAGTTATGGAGGTAAGGCAATAATAAAATAGGCTATAGTGCAAAATAATTACAATTAGTATTAACACTGGAATGATAGATGTGCAAGAGATGATGTGCAAATAGAGATACTGGGGTAAAAATGAGCAAAATAAATAACAATATAGGGATGAGGTAGTTGGGCGGGCTAATTTCAGATGGGCTGTGTACAGGTGCAGTGATCGGTAAGGTGCTCTGACAACTGATGCTTAAAGTTAGTGAGGGAGATAAGTGTCTCCAGCTTCAGAGATTTTTGCAATTTGTTCCAGTCATTGGCAGCAGAGAAACTGGAAGGAATTGCGGCCAAAGGAGGTGTTGGCTTTGGGGATGACCAGTGAGATATACCCGCTGGAGCGCAGACTACGGGTGGGTGTTGCTATGGTGACCAATGAGCTAAGATAAGGCAGGGATTTGCCTAGCAGTGATTTATAGATGGCCTGGAGCCAGTGGGTTTGGCGACGAATATGTAGTGAGGACCAGCCAACAAGAGCGTACAGGTCACAGTGGTGGGTAGTATATGGGGTTTTTGGAGACAAAACGGATGGCACTGTGATAGACTACATCCAATTTGCTGAGTAGAGTGTTGGAGGCTATTTTGTAATGACATCGCCGAAGTCAAGGATCGGTAGGATAGTCAGTTTTACGAGGGCATGTTGGCAGCATGAGTGAAGGAGGCTTTGTTGCGAAATAGGAAACCGATTCTAGATTTAACTTTGGATTGGAGATTCTTAATGTGAGTCTGGAAGGAGAGTTTACAGTCTAACCAGACACCTAGATATTTGTAGTTGTCCACATACTCTAGGTCAGACCCGTCGAGAGTAGTGATTCTAGTCGGGTGGGCGGGTGCAAGCAGCGTTCGGTTTGAAGAGCATGCATTTAGTTTTACTAGTGTTTAAGAGCAGTTGGAGGCTACTGAAGGAGTGTTGTATGGAATTGAAGCTCGTTTGGAGGTTTGTTAACACAGTGTCCAATGAAGGGCCAGATGTTATACAAAATGGTGTCGTCTGCGTAGAGGTGGATCTGAGAGTCACCAGCAGCAAGAGCGACGTCATTGATATGCACAGAGAAAAAGAGTCGGCCCAAGAATTGAACCCTGTGGCACCCCCATAGAGACTGCCATAGGTCCAGACAACAGGCCCTCCGATTTGACACATTGAACTCTATCTGAGAAGTAGTTGGTGAACCAGGCGAGGCAGTCATTTGAGAAAACCAAGGCTATTTAGTCTGCCAATAAGAATGCGGTGGTTGACAGAGTCGAAAGCCTTGGCCAGGTCAATGAAAACGGCTGCACAGTACTGTCTATTATCGATCGCGGTTATAATATCGTTTAGGACCTTGAGCGTGGCTGGAAGTGCACCCATGACCAGCTCGGAAACCGGATTGCATAGCGGAGAAGGTACGGTGGGATTCGAAATGGTCGGTGATCTGTTTGTTGACTTGGCTTTCAAAAACTTTTGAAAGGCAGGGCAGGATGGATATGGGTCTGTAACAGTTTGGATCTAGAGTGTCACCCCCTTTGAAGAGGGGGATGACCGCGGCAGCTTTCCAATCTCTGGGGATCTCAGACGTTACGAAAGAGAGGTTGAACAGGCTAGTAATAGGGGTTGCGACAATTTCAGCGGCTAGTTTTAGAAAGAAAGGGTCCAGATTGTCTAGCCCAGATGATTTGTAGGGGTCCAGATTTTGCAGCTCTTTTAGAACATCAGCTGTCTGGATTTGTGTGAAGGAGAAGCGGGGGGGGGGCATGGGCAAGTTGCAGCGGAGGGTGCAGAGCTGGTGGCCGGGGTAGTGGTAGCCAGGTGGAAGCATGGCCAGCCGTAGCAAAATGCTTGTTGAAATTCTCGATTATTGTAGATTTATCGGTGGTGATAGTGTTTCCTAGCCTCAGTGCAGTTGTCACGGATTCTGCCGAGGCTGCTCCCCCTCCTGGTACGAGCAGGCGTCGGCGGTCGCCGTCCCCGGAGTACTAGCTGCCACCGATCTATGTTTCTGTGTGTGATTGCTTTTGTCTGTCTGTCACACCTGTGTCCTATTGTGTATTCATCACCTGTCCTATAAGTTCCGTCTTTTTGCTTGGTAGGATTGTGTGTGTTGTTCGCCTGTCGTTGTGCTGCGTGTTTTGTTTCTTGTTTGCATTTTTTGTGTTTTACGCATGTTGCGTAAATGCTCGCCTCTTGTTGTTTTGAGGTCGTTTGTTTTCCGTTTCCTTTTGGAAATTTTGAGTAAACTCTGTTGGACTGAGCCTCGGTGTCCTGCGCCTGACTTCCACCACACATACACCTCACCTCATGACAGCAGTGGGCAGCTGGGAGGAAGTGCTCTTATTTTCCATGGACTTTACAGTGTCCCAAAACTTTTTGGAGTTAGTGCTACAGGATGCAAATTTCTGTTTGAAAAAGTTAGCCTTTGCTTTCCTAACTGCTTGTGTATATTGGTTCCTAACTTCCCTGAAAAGTTGCATATCGCGGGGGGCTATTTGATGCTAATGCAGTACGCCACAGGATGTTTTTGTGCTGGTCAAGGGCAGTCAAGTCTGAGGAGAACCAGGGGCTATATCTGTTCTTAGTTCTGTATTTTTTGAATGGGGCATGTCTATTTAAGATTGAGAGGAAATTACTTTTAAAGAACAACCAGGCATCCTCTACTGACGGAATGAGATCTATATCCATCCAGGATACCTGGGCCAGGTCAATTAGGAAGGCCTGCTCGCTGAAGTGTTTTTGGGAGCGTTTGACAGTGATGAGGGGTGGTCGTTTGACCGCGGACCCGTTACGGACGCAGGCAATAAGGCAGTGATCGCTGAGATCCTGGTTGAAGACAGCGGAGGTGTATTTAGAGGGTAAGTTAGTCAGGATGATATCTATGAGGGTACCCATGTTTACGGATTTAGGGTTGTACCTGGTAGGTTTGTTGATAATTTGTGTGAGATTGAGGGCATCTAGTTTAGATTGTAGGATGGCCGGGGTGTTAAGCATATCCCAATTTAGGTCACCAAGCAGGACAAACTCTGAGGATAGATGGGGGGCAATCAATTCACATATGGTGTCCAGGGCACAGCTGGGGACTGAGGGGGGTCTGTAGCAAGCGGCAACAGTGAGAGATTTATTTCTGGAAAGGTGGATTTTTAGAAGTAGAAGCTCAAACTGTTTGGGCACAGACCTGGATAGTATGATTAGAGCTCTGCAGGCTATCTCTACAGTAGATTGCAACTCCACCCCCTTTGGCAGTTCTATCTAGACGGAAAATGTTATAGTTGGGGATGGAAATTTCAGAATTTTTGGTGGCCTTCCTAAGCCAGGATCAGACACTGCTAGAACATCAGGGTTGGCGGAGTGTGCTAACGCAGTGAATAACTCAAACTTAGGAAGGAGGCTTCTGATATTTATGTGCAGAAAACCAAGACTTTTATGGTTACAGAGTCAACAAATGATAGCTCCTGGGGAGTAGGAGTGATACTGGGGGCTCAGGGCCTGGGTTAGCCTCTACATCACCAGAGGAACAGAGGAGGACTAGAATAAGGATACGGCTAAAGGCTTTAAGAACTGGTCTTCTAGTGCGTTGGGTACATAGAATAAAGGGGGCAGTTCTCCGGGCGTTGTAGAAAAGATTCAGGGCATTATGTACAGAAAAGGATATGGAAGGATATGAGTACAGTTCAGGTAACCCTAAGCGTTGGGTAACAATGAAAGAGATAGCGTCATTGGAGGCACCGATTGAGCCAGTCTCGGCGTGTATGGGGGGTGAAACAAAGGAACTATATGAGGCAGTTTGAGAGGGACTAGGGGTTCTACAGTGAAATTGTATAATAAGAACTAACCCAAACAGCAATAGGCAAGGCATAATTGACATGGGAGAGAGGCATAAAGCAGTCACAGGTGTTATTAGAGAGAGCTAAGACAACAACTGGAAATAGCGATAACGTTTGGGCTAAGACTAAACAGAATAAACAGGACAGGGGTACCGTGTAAAGGAACAGTCCAGCAGGCATCAGCTGTGCAGCTGAGTGATCATAAGGTCCAGTGAACAGCAATATGTGAGTCCGAGAGCAGTTCAAATTGGTGCTTCAGCACAGCTAGCAGGGAGCACAGTTGTAGTTTGCGTTGTGCTAGTGGGCCGGGGCTGGCAGATGGATCTTCGTGGTCGTCGCAACTGGAAGCCTGATGAAACCACATCAGACTATTTCGTCGGCAAACCAGTCGTGTTGGATCGGCAGGGCTCAGTGTCAACACTAGGAGGTCCCGTCCGGTTGACAGAGAGGTAGATAGCCGGGAGATGGGCCTGAGGCTAGCTCAAGGCTAACTGGTGCTTGCTATAGGGCAATGGTAATCAGCCAACAACAGGTTGCAGCTAGCTAGCTGGTTGTGATGATCCGGCGCTAGGGTCCAGTGATTCCGACAGAAAGTCCAATAAGCTCTGGGTCGATAGCACGCTGGGTCGATAGCTCGCTGTGCAGACTGGCCGACGAATTGTCCAGGCTAGAGCTAGAGCTGGCTGGTGGATAGTGTAGGCCACGGACAGTGGTGAAGACGCTAACGGTGACTAATAGCAGGTAGCCATTCAGTTGCAGCTACACTAGTATCAGCTTACGGTTCTTGATGAAAGTTATAAAGAAATAATAGAATCCTTTCCACGTTGGGTGAGGCGGGTTGCAGGAAAGTATATTTAGTTAAAGAATGAAAAGTAAAAATTGAGAGATATATACAAAATAGACAAAAAAAACAAGAAACGGGATATTTACACAAGGACGATGAAATAAAAGCGACCGCACTGCTATGCCATCTTGGATCTAGGGGTCTTGGATAGGACCCTGTCCTATCCTTCAACGGTATAGCCAGGGCCTTCAACGGTATAGCCAGGGCCTTCAACGGTATAGCCAGGGCCTTCAACGGGATAGCCAGGGCCTTGGACCGTTCTCTGTTGTGGAAGGGAGAAATATGAAGTAATCAGAGGAGTCTGGTGGGAGGAGCTATAGGAGGATGGGCTCATGGTATTGGCTGGAATGGAATCAATGGAATGGTATCAAACACATGGAAACAATATGTTTGACTCCGTTTCCATTGATTCCATTCCAGCCATTCCTGTAATAGACATTAGAACTGGTTTCCTGTGGGTCCTTCCTGTAATAGACATTAGAACTGGTTTCCTGTGGGTCCTTCCTGTAATAGACATTAGAACTGGTTTCCTGTGGGTCCTTCCTGTAATAGACATTAGAACTGGTGTTTTCTCTCCCTCCCACAGCGAAGAGGATCAGACGTAAAAGAACAGGACCTCAACGACAAACCTCGACGAAACGTCAGCTGGCAAGACAAAGGTGGGTCACTCACTAAACACACCGGAAATTTAGTCTGGCCTCTATGATTTCAATATCATTCCATCATAACCTGTGTTCCCAGCTGTCACTCAAACAATTTCTGTGGGTACTGGAATCTAGGGCTACATTCCAATATCCACACTAGTACATTATCTAGGATGCTCGGCCAAAACATTGGTTCACACTAGTGTGGACACAGGGACAGAGCATAGGAGTTGGTTGAAGTAGAAAAAAAAAAAAGATAAGAGTTGCTGTCATAGTGCATTGATCATGTGTCTGTGATGCCCCCTCAGATCCTGTGATGGTGCATTGTGGGTAGTGTAGTGTTCATGTGTCTGTGATGCCCCCTCAGATCCTGTGATGGTGCATTGTGGGTAGTGTAGTGTTCATGTGTCTGTGATGCCCCCTCAGATCCTATGGTAGTGCCAGTGGATTCGGAGGATGAGAAGGGGGAGGACTTGGAGCCAGAGAAGGAGGAGGACATTGGCATCACCTTCGTGGCTCGAAAGGTTCCAGAGACGCCCAAAGAACGGCCCAAATCTGGTAAGGACACATTGACACAGGGGAGACTAGAAACCTCAGAAAATGGCCTCGTGTCCCTGTCTAATACTGTATTCATACATTAACTGTAATTTGGAATATCTTCATTAGAATATGAATTCATGGCCTCCCGAGTGGCGCAGCGGGCTAAGGCACTGCATCGCAGTGCTTGAGGCGTCACTACAGACCCGGGTTCGATCCCAGGCTGTGTCACAACCGGCCCGTGACCGGGAGTCCCATAGGGCGGCGCACAATTGGCCCAGCGTCGTCCGGGTTAGGGGAGGGTTTGGCCGGGGGGGGGGCTTTACTTGGCTCATCGCGCTCTAGCGACTCCTTGTGGTGGGGCCGGGTGCCTGCAGGCTGACCTCGGTCGTCAGGTGAACGGTGTTTCCTCCGACACATTGGTGCGGCTGGCTTCTGGGTTAAGCGGGCGGGTGTTAAGAAGCGCGGTTTGGCGGGTCACGTTTCGGAGGACGCATGACTCGACCGTCGCCTCTCCCGAGCCCTTTGGGGAGTTGCAGCGATGAGACAAGATCGCAATTGGATATCACGAAATTGGGGAAACGGGGTAAAATACAACAAAGAATAATAATACAAAAGAAAGTAAGAATAATAATTCATTAGAATCAATAGAATATCAAAATGTAAAGACACACATTGGGTATTCATTGTTTTTAAAGTATTTTGATGTCTGCTAGATACAGTGTAGCTCAGTTGGTAGAGCATGGCGCTTGCAACGCCAGGGTTGTGGGTTCGATTCCCACGGGGGGGCCAGTATGAAAAATGCATGCACTCACTAACTGTAAGTCGCTCTGGATAAGAGCGTCAGCGTTAAAATGACTAAAATGTAAAAAAAATGTAAAATGTAAGTATGCCAGAGATGGTATTTAGATATATTGTAATGTTACAGCCAGGATCCTGACTGTATGTTCCTCTGTCTGACCTGTGTCCTGTCTCAGTCCCGGCTGGTCTGGAGGTGTGTCAGAGCCCCTCCGTGGCCCCCCCGTCCCCCACCTGCGGTGAGAGGAACCTGCCCTGGAAGGGCGGCATTGGAACCCTGCCGGTGTGTGTCTCCATGGAGGCTACTAAGATCATCCCCATAGATCTGCAGCAGGCCTGGAACCAGAGCATCTCCTCCTTAGAGAGCCTGGGCTCCCCGCCGGTCCCCGTGGAAGCCCTACACCCCCGCGTCAGCGCCCTCTCCAGGCTGGGTGGGCCCCGTCCTGTCTCATACTCTGGTAGTGGAGTGAGCGGGGCCGGTTCTGGATCCAGAGGGGCTGGAGGAGGAGGAGGAGTGGGGTCAATAGTGGCTCAGGGCATCGCTCGGTTTGAGTTCCCCCCAGGAGGAGAGGAGAAGGAGGAGGAAGAGGGGGCCTTGTCTGACCAGGAGCAGGAGCTGCAGCCCCTCATGTCATCCTCTGTGAGGCCCCCTGGCCCCCCACCCCCTCCCCCACTGGCCCAGGGTCTAGGGCGGAGGAGGAACCCCTGTGTGTACCTGAGGAGCCTGGTCACAGCGCCCCCTCCTGGCAGTGAGCCGCTGGCGCGCAGCAGAGGGCCCACTCAGCTGTAATGGCTCCGACCACATCTCTGGTTACAGTTGCCCCCCGTTGGCACAGATCTAGGATCAGCTTAGCTCCCCAAGTCCTAACCAATACCACTAGGGAGAACGACGCAAGACTGATTTTTAGATCAGCTTTTATGGGCAATCACATCCCTCACACACTCAACACCATTAACACACACACAACGAACACACCCCCAACCACACCAGCTCAGGCCGACCAACCCCTCAGCTCTGGTACTTCTCACTCCAGATGATGAGTGACAAACGTCATCTCCTTCAATAACTCCAGCTCCAACGTCTCTATAGATCAGACACAGGATGTTGGACTAATACGGTGATGATGAAATTGAGGAAGTATGTTTATGCGAACCCAAATAGCACCCTTTTCCCTATATAGTGCACTACTTTTGACCAGGGCCCCTATAGGGCTTTGGTCAAACATAGTGCACCATGTAGGGAATAGGGTTGCTATTTGGGACGCAGTCTGAGAGGTTTTAATGTGGCAGCTGGTACAGTCACAGATAGACAGACACAGTGCATTGTGGTCCAGGGTTGGGGCCGTCCGTCCATGTGGTAAAACAATACCAGTTTTCATATTATGCATTTATATTCCCCCCCCAGCTCCCTGCAGGTGTTGAGGTTCTGCCCTGTCTGTTTCATACACTTGAATGTAAGTCAATGTCAAGATGTAAGCCTATTGGAAATATATCTGTCTACAGCCGGACTGCCATATCAAAAGCTACATTCAACCCCCAGCCCTCTCCTCCCCTCCCTGACCCACTAGAACAGAGAGAGAGAGAGAGAGAGAGAGAGAGAGAGAGAGAGAGAGAGAGAGAGAGAGAGAGAGATAGAGAGAGAGAGAGATAGATAGAGAGAGAGAGCGAGGGCGGGAGAGAGAGGAGAAGAGAGAGAGAGAGAGAGAGAGAGAGAGACACTACATGGAAGTTTCTCTAACTTTATAAACTTCCCAAACGCCAGGCCAGAGAGAGTGTTGTTGCTTGATGACCATATCCTGCTCCCAGATTGGTTTGTGCTCTCTTACCCAACTCCTATGGTCATGGTCAGGCCAAACAGCAATAACAACAACCATAGGAGTTGACAAGACAGCACAAGCAGATCTGGGACCAGGCTATGATATTATCAGATCCATGAAAGTCTCTTTAATTTCATACATTTCCCAAACCCCAGCCCAGAGACAGCATTGATGCTTGATGACCATAGCCTGGTCCCAGATCTGTTTGTGCAGACCTACTCCTCTCATCCCCTCTGTGGTGTTGAGCCAGGACGTCAGGAAGCCTGAGGAAGCCACAGTACTCCTCTCGTCCCCTCTGTGGTGTTGAGCCAGGACGTCAGGAAGCCTGAGGGAGCCACAGTACTCCTCTCGTCCCCTCTGTGGTGTTGAGCCAGGACGTCAGGAAGCCTGAGGGGAGCCACAGTATTGAATATGATGTCTTTATAACTCACTACTCCATGTCACAGGTAGTAGTTACTGGTGGTATTCATCAGGGAGGACTTTCTCTTGTTTCTCGCATCATGTACAGTCAGAGCAGGTCAATCATAGGGTGCGTCCCAAATGTCACCCTATCCCCTTTATAGTGCACTACTTTTGACCAGAGGTGTATGACCATGGCACCCTATCCCCTATATAGTGCACTACTTTTGACCAGAGGTGTATGACCATGGCACCCTATTCCCTACATAGTGCACTACTTTTGACCAGGGCCCGTAGGGAATCCCCCCCCTCCCCCCCCAGTGACTTAAAAGCAGCACTTTACCTTTACCCCCCCATCCCCCCCCCCCGTCTGTCCTTTGTGTGTCCAGCGAACGCAGCGTCTGTATTGCCTGTCCGCCTCTAACTTCTATTTATTCCAGCTTCTCTGATATAAAACAACAGAAGACATTTCTTTGTAAATGCTGCTACAAAAAAAAACTTAGCAAAAGCTAAAAAAAAAAAGATTTGTTTTATTAATGACCAAAGTTTTATAGAAGAGCTTAAAGTGACCATTTCTTTAATATGATGATGTCTCTAGATCCTGTCATCCATTGCCTTACTCTGTTACTGCTACATTAGAGGGATTCATGCTGATTTAGGATTTAGGCTAATGTGCTTTTTCTTTTGCTGTGTAAAGCGGGTGGACTGTAGCTCAGCTGGTAGAGCACGGTGCTTGTAACGCCCAGGGTAGTGGGTTCGATCCCCGGGACCACCCCCATACGTAAAAATGTATGCGCACATGACTGTAAGTCGCTTTTGATAAAAGCGTCTGCTAAATGGCATATTATTATTATTATTATTATTATTGTCATTTCGTGGATGCACAACAATAGTGCCCATGTTTGACCTTTTACAATATCTTAACACAAACCTATCTTAATAATACATAGGTGAGATGAACACACTGTTCTATTGTGTATTTATGTAATGAAGTTGTTTTAATCATAAATTAGTTAAATGTATAATGGACTGGTACATACAGTACCAGTCAAACGTTTTGGACACACCTCCTCATTCAAGGGTTTTTCTTTATTTTTACTATTTTTTCTACATTGTAGAATAATAGTGAAGACATCAAATCTATGAAATAACACACATGGAATCATGTAGTAACCAAAAAAGTGTTGAACAAATCAAAATATGTTTGAGATTTGAGATTCTTCAAAATAGCCACCCTTTGCCTTGATGACAGCTTTGCACATTCTTGGTATTCTCTCAACCAGCTTCACCTGGAATGCTTTTCCAACAGTCTTGAAGGAGTTCCCACATATGCTGAGCACTTGTTGGCTGCTTTTCCTTCACTCTGCCGTCCGACTCATCTCAAACCATCTCAATTGGGTTGAGGTCAGGGGATTGTGGAGGCCAGGTCATCTGATGCAGCACTCCATCACTCTCCTTCTTGGTAAAATAGCCCTTACACAGCCTGGAGGTGTGTTGGGTCATTTTCCTGTTGAAAAACAATTGATAGTCCCATTAAGCCCAAACCAGATGGGATGGTGTATCACTGCAGAATGCTGTGGTAGCCATGCTGGTTAAGTGTGCCTTGAATTCTAAATAAATCACAGACAGTGTCACCAGCAAAGCACCCCCACATCATAACACCTCCTCCTCCATGCTTTACTGTGGGAAATACACATGTGGAGATCATCCGTTCACCCACACCGCATCTCACAAAGACACGGCGGTTGGAACCAAAAATCTCCAATTTGGACTCAAGACCAAAGGAAAGATTTCCACCGGTCTAATGTCCATTGCTCATGTTTCTTGGCCCAAGCAGGTCTCTTCTTCTTATTGGTGTCCTTTATTAGTGGTTTCTTTGCAGCAATTCGACCATGAAGGCCTGATTCACGCAGTCTCCTCTGAACAGTTGATGTTGAGATGTGTCTGAGGCTGGTAACTCTAATGAACTTATCCTCTGCATCAGAGGTAACTCTGGGTCTTCCATTCCTGTGGTGGTCCACATGAGAGGTGATGGTTTTTGCGACTACACTTGAAGAAACTTTCAAAGTTCTTGACATTTTCCGTATTGACTGACCTTCATGTCTTAAAGTAATGATGGACTGTCGTTTCTCTTTGCTTATTTGAGCTGTTCTTGCCATAATATGGACTTGGTCTTTTACCAAACAGGGTTATCTTCTGTATAGCCCCCCTACCTTGTCACAACACAACTGATTGCCTCGAACGCATTAAGAAGGAAAGAAATTCCACAAATTAACTTTTAAGAAGGCACACCTGTTATTCCAGGTGACTACCTCATGAAGCTGGTTGAGAGAACGCCAAGAGTGTGCAAAGCTGTCATCAAGGCAAAGGGTGGCTATTTGAAGAATCTCAAATATAAAATATATTTTGATTTTGTTTAACACTTTTTTGGTTACTGCATGATTCCATATGTGTTATTTCATAGTTTTGATGTCTTCACTATTATTCTACAATGTAGAAAATAGTAAAAATAAAGAAAAACCCTTGAATGAGTAGGTGTGTCCAAACTTTTGACTGGTACTGTATGTTTTGCCAAAGATTCACATGAAATCTTAATTTAGAGCTGAGCTCATTGATACTCTTGTCTGTCTATAATGTGGCAACGTAAAACAATCAGTTTACTGACAAATAAACACTCCCCTCCATACTGTCTTTAGAGAGCACGATCCAGAGCCCCATAGGGATACAGCCTACTGTAAATATATCTCTGGCGCAATCATTCAGTTGTTATTGTAGTTTTAAAGCCACAAACTCTCCAATGAGCAAAGTAAAAGGTGATGTGTTTTAATAGAGGGATGTTGTGCCTTGTAAGAAGAAAAGACCGTGGTTCGTCCCAAATGGCACCCCTATTCCCTTGATAGTGCATTGCTTTTGAGCAGGTCCCATAGGCGTCTGGTCTAAAGTAGAGCACTATATATAGGGAATAGGGTGCCATTTTGGGACACAAGCCTTGACTAGCGTGGTACCAGCTGCTTGTCTGGAAGACCGAGTGCAGCCGCAGTTGAACATTGTTTAATTTGAGCGCTTGAGCTGCTTGTCAACGTTGTTGTTTAAGTTCTTACGCTATCTGTCACTTAAACTCTTTCCGTTTCTAACTATTCACTCACAACAAGACACAACATAGGAATGTTCTGAAGTCCTGTCTTTTTTTTAATGACTCTTTTTTTTGCTTTGAAAGCGTTTGTTTTTATCTGCGATTCGACTGGTTGTTGTACGGAAATTAAATGAAACATGTCTGTGCCAAAATGTTAACCTTGGCTTTTGCCCAGAAACAAAGTAAATAAAATGAGAGCTTTTCTGAATTAATACTGTTGCTCATGTGCTTTATTTCTATATGTCTAAATCCCACTCTGAGGGATACTAAGGATGTCAGCTCTGTCAATACACAAACAGATGTCATTAACAATAATAATAATTTCAGTGGGTTCGGTTTGCCCCCCTCACCACTGAAGTGTGGCACGTCCTGCCTTTTGACGAAGGGTATCTGGCACATCCAGAGGCTTCTCTGCATCCCAAATGGCACCCTTATATAGTG